TTCACAATTAGATATATCTATTCTGACCTACTGTAAAATACTTTATTTTAGCCGGAATTAATTTTCGCTGAAAAGACTTCTTGGGTGTTTTGTATGGAATTTATTTTCACTGATTTTTGACAAGTTGATAATATAGGAAAAAAAGGTATATTTGCTGGATTTTATTTTCACTGAATCATTCCATCAGCGAAAATAGCAAAAATTAATTCCAAGCGAAAATGAAGTATTTTACAGTATATTATAGCAATGGTGAAATCTTGTGGTGTATAGTAATGCTATGATAATTACTCCCATGTCAGTCTCTAGTGCTTTCTCTCACTGGTAGGCAGTATTTCCTCTCAGAAAATTCGCCACTGACCATCTTTAGTATTCCACTTTTAGATAAAATGTTAATATTCAATGTTTTAAAAGGAAAAGTTGTTTTACTGTAAATGCAGTAATTATTCACTGTTTTTTAATTTCAATGTATGTAAAATTTGCTAAAATATGCACATGAACTTGTAGAATAACAAAAGAAATCATTGTTTCCTTGTAAAGATTGTTAACTTAAAACCCAGTGAAGTTGCTCAAAACATCAAAATAATGAAATTAATTAAATGCCAGTGAAAAATGAATGGTAGTTCTCATCATAGCAACTTCATGAGGTCACTGGTGGTAGGCTCTCTGTATCTGGCATCCAAAACAACACAGTGTTTTCAGACAAAGCCTGCATTGTTTAAAATATGCACACAGCATCAGCACAATAGTAATATTATGAAGTATTTTGTGTCAACACACTGGTTCTGTAAAGCTGGATTGCTTGGGGAGTAATTTCTGTTGTAATGAATCACAGATTCCGGAGAACTATTAACGTGCCCTAGTTTGTGACCCACATCGATTCTAAAGTTAAACTAATACATCTCCCCTGGTAGCTTGCAACTGGTCCACATGATTACATATCTGGGTTAAGTGTTTAACATTTCCATATTGTGCTCTCATTCCCATTTCTTGCTTCCTTTCTAAAACACACAACTGCATGCCTCTGTGAATTAAGCCTCTCAATTTTATTAAGTTGCACGTGGTATCTCAGATTACTTGTCAGTTAACACCAGCAATATGATTACTCATGATTGTACATATGGCTTGGACCTGGAATAGATCACCCACAGCTGTGTGTTTGCTTTATGCAATATTCAATCATAATTTGTAACTTGTTCAGTAAATTATACACATCAGTCTTTGTGTACAGGGGACCAGGGTGCTTGGCAAGCAGAAAGGAGGTCAACGTTGAAACATTTGATGACAGTACACAGTGTCTGGAATACAAGTGTTTCTGTTGAACACACTGATCATACGAATTTAAAACTTCCAGGGTTGATTCATACCATGTTCTACAATGCGGATAATGCCCCCTGTTTTGATAGAAAGAGAAAATGAAGGGAAGATACTGCTGTGATATAAGTGGAATCGTCGGCCATTCTGTGTTTCAGAAAATGAAATATTGCATGAATTGCTATGTAAAAGTTTGCTATTTTAATTTGATGCAAATTTTTTTCTTTTATCAAACATTACCCATGATGCATTGTGCAGCACATCTTGCAATAACATTCCACATTCCATTCATGTTCTTATTAGAGATACTGACAATTTGCTTCAAATTCTGTGAATGTTATTTTTCGATTTGGGTCCTGTTAGCTGACTCTTATCCATCTTCCAGGGGCTGCTCCAGTTGTTTTTTCTATTATTATCCGTGTTTGATTTTTCAACCGGTATATTTCATTTATATATGTTTATTTATAGCAGATTTTGCATTTGTTTTTTATAGGTCAATAAACCCAGTTTTAGTATTACTATGGAATTACCATGCAGTTCCCAGGGTTTTGTTTATGCATGTATGCATTGCTGTAAACTAATTATTTAGATTCCTGTCAGTTTTATTGTAGTTACACTTAACCCCAAAACATTTATATATACTATCTTATATAAATTCCATGCCACTGGTAATTTTTGTTGTTGACAACGCATATCACGTCGTAATAATTGTAATTACGATCGAGATTGCACACATTTCTCTTTGCGCTTCTCCTAACAAATACAAATGTACAATGTAAGTACATGTGCCTGTATATGAGGCAAAAATTTCTGTTTTCCTCTCTTTCTTCCTGCACTGTCACAAATAACTTTCTTGATATGGGACCCATGTGATGACGAGTGGCTAGTATATTACATTGACATGAAATACAAACAGACATGGCAACTGTAGAAAAATGTCAATTTGGGTACCCCACCCCCACACACACTCCAAGTTACAGGTGAAAAGGTGGCTATTTTGTTTTGTCCATACATGCAGTATAAAATCTTGACCAATCTCTGTGTTGCATGACTTTGTATTCCAAGTTTGTCTGCTATGAGTTAATTTGTCAGCTCTGTTGTGATAAGTGAGTTATGTGACCTCGGGTGACATGAATTTTTAATACGCTTCCTTGTTTTTGTGTGATTTATTTTCTTTTTTTTCATTTCATGGAAAACTAATTAAAAATTTGATGGATTCATTATACTAATTGATGCATTGACTGGGTTAATATTAATATTCAATAACTCAATGAAATAAATTGCCTCCAAAGAGATTATAAATTGCACTCACTTGAAATTGAGTGTTACTTTGTAAGGAATTAATCATTTGAACTCTTGTGGGAGGCGAGACTTTTTGAGGGGAAAAAATTTATATTGGTGTTGTCATGAAACAAAATGTATTGGGGAAATTAATCAATCATGAGTTTTTTAAGCTTAAGTATATTTTATAAAAAAAACAATCAACATAACCCCCTCAGATTCCAAGCAGCTCTTCCGTAGATGCTTCCTGTGTCAGCTTTTCATATACTGTATTTTTTTGTTGAAAAATGGGCATTTGTGGCTGTTGGCTCCTGCTGCAAATATAAATATTTTAAAGTGTGTACATATATTCAACAGAACTGTTAGTATTGATATTATTAGTGTTTCTTCTTATGTTTTGACTGGTAGGCATTTTTAGTGAATTAATACTTGAATGTTTGTTTATTTGTCATAGATTACATAAAAGAATAACAATACAGCAATAAATAATAACTAATAAATATTAATAAATAATAATAATATTAATCTATGGCTGGGAAACAGAAATTAGCTCATACAGAGCTAGTCTAGTCTAATGACCTATTCTAGCTAGTTTTGTTTGAATTTCTGACGTGTTATCTAAAAATAAGTTGGGAGTGCAATACAAGAAGAATTTAGCACATGTAGCACTATCTACATGTACTTTTTAGCTCCGCTGTCGACTTTGTCGAGCGGAGCTTATCATATGAGTGATTGTCCGGTGTCGTCCGTCGTCGTCGTCCGTCGTCCGTCGTCCGTGTCAATGTTTTACTTTTTCGACTTCTTCTTGAAAACTACAAGCCTGAATGCTTTGATACTTGGTGTATATGTACCTTGGGTAGACCTCTCTCAGATTTGTTCATTTCATGTTGATATCTTCAATTCTCTAATTTTGGTGAATATTTTTGTCATTTTTGGTAAAAAGTGATATTTTCGACTTCTTGTTAAAAACCGCAAGTGCAATTGCTTTGATATCACATATATAGGTACTACATGTGGACCTCTCTCAGATTTGTTGATTTTGTAATGATATCTTTAATTCTCTAATTTTGGTGAATATTTTTGTCATTTTTGGTAAAAAGTGATATTTTCGACTTCTTGTTAAAAACCGCAAGTCAAATCGCTTTGATACTACATATAT